CAGTAGGCGAACTGCAGGGGGTCTACGGTGTCCTTCAGGTGGGCCAACACCAGTCTTTCAAAAGACTTCATAACTACAGATGTCAGGGCGACAGGTCTGTAGTCGTTCAGTCCACTGATGGAGGTTTTCTTGGGAACTGGGATGATGGTGGAGCATTTGAAGCAGGAGGGGACTTCACACAGCTCCAGTGACCTGTTGAAGATAAGTGTGAAGATGGGGGCCAGCTGATCAGCACACGCTTTTAAGCAGGAGGGGGTCACACCATCTGGGCCTGGAGCCTTTCTGAACTTTTGTCTTTTAAAGAGGCCACGCACATCCTTTTCACAGATCATTAGAGGTGGGGGGGCTGGAGGGAAGAGTGGTGCTTGCCGGGGGAGCAGCTGCTGGGTCTGAAGTGGGGAGGGGAGTGTTGATTGTCAAACTTGCAGTAGAACACATTCAGGTCGTCTGCCAGTTGACAGTCCTCCACAGCAGGTGGGAGGGTTTTCTATAGCCAGTGATGGTTTTCAGGCTTCCCCACACAGACGAGGGGTCGTTGGCTGAAACCTGAGCTTTCAGCTTCTCAGAGTAGCTCCTCTTTGTTGCTCTGATCTCCCTTGTCAGTGTGTTCATGGCCTGGCTGTACAGAGTCCTGTCCCCACTTCTGTAAGCTTCCTCTTTGGCACGATGAAGCTGCTTGAATCTTGCTGTGAACCAGGGCTTGTTGTTGTTGTATGTACAGAAGGACTTTTTGGGCACACACATATCACAAAAGCTGATATAAGATGTGACCTTGTCAGTGAGTTTGTCCAGGTCTGTAGCTACAGTCTCAAATACACTCCAGTCTGTGCAGTCAAAGCAGGCCTGTAGCTCTGACTTAGCCTCCTCAGTCCAGCTCTTCACTGTTTTGACTATGTTGGTCTTTGGTTCTTGTCTCTCAGAGTTAGCAATGGTAACAAGACAGTCCAAGTAACTTCAAAACAGTGCTGATTTATTCAAAGGATCACAGGTAAAATTAACATTACACGCTCAGGTATCTTGCACCTCCAAACTGCACGCAGGCAGATGTAAGATGAAAGACCCTGAACCCACCAGGCCTATACAATTTTATCCCTTCGGTTGCGCTAGCCCCATACTACACAGAAACGTCAACCGAGACGTCTCTGTTGCCAACTTTGCAGCTGGCCATAACAGTAGTCAAAACATGAAGCAAATCAATGTGAGTGTGTGTCTGTTGATTAAGTGGTGTGTAGCTAAAAACATTCTCACACGACCTCTAGTGACATGTCGTGACATTAAACATAAAAACATATTATGGCTAAGGCTACAGTTATACACGTCATAATAATAACATTAAACATCCTGTCTGCTGACAGTCATCAACTTTTCTCTCTAGTTATCCTTGACCAGATGTACCCTGTAAAAACTCATAAGCATGTCTCAGCATTTAACAGTCTAACTAGACGTCCTATCTCCACTAAATATTTCTAATACATAAAGTATCTATCCAATATCTATCTGACTAAAAATACCTAACAACTACAGGCTTCGCATCTTTAAGTTTCTGCCTGTAGGTTGGAATAAGATGGACCATACAGTGATCAGAGTTTACTGGTTTCATACCCCCAGAGCTACAACTCATTGTACAACAACAACCACCATTACCCCCATGAAGCCCGCGAAGCACCTGTTGCATCCAGGAATCGAGCCTCTCCCAGCACCTCCTCAGCAGGCATCAGGGCCGCCGGTGACTCCTCCCCTGCTCACGTAAGAGCACACTCTCGGCGGCAAGGCACACCTGCTCTCAATCATCAGAGCAGCACATAAGCATGGCGTTGGTGTGTCCTCGTCGCCACATGATCTCTCTTCATTCAGATGGTAGCTTTACATTTGGTCCGTGCACCATCCTCATGTTTTCCAACGTTGAACTATTCGGGTAAAAAAAAAAATCATGTTGTTCTCGATCTGGTGATGATTGCCTTCAGTTTCATTTATTTTATGAACTGTCCTCCTGAGAAGTATGTACCTTGTAGTGTCTGAACTGAGGAGTGTGTTTTTCGTTTCATTTTTGTGTGGAGTGCTTAACTGAGACGCGCTTACCTTTTTTTTGTCTGAACTGCATAACTGAGGAGTGTTTTTGTGGAGTGATTAACTGAGGTGTGCTTTACCTTTTGTTTGAACTGATTACCTGAGGAGTGCTTCCTTGAGTTTGTTTGAACTGTTACCTGGTGCCATCTGTTACACTGCGGGCTCCGCCCTCCCGTCCTGAGTTCTTCTCCTGAGATTTGTATTAAGTGCCCGGGCTGGCCAAGCTTCGGCACTTACTCCTGTCTTCGTGCTGTAACACAAGCCTCTCTCCTTGACTGCCTCTGACCTGCTCTGCCGCTGAACATCTGTACCCCACGCCAGTCCCTGCTTCCTGGGACAAGCTGTCCAGCCAGTGGCGCTCTCCTTCCCCGAGCCAGCACTCCCTCACGCAGTTCATCTGTCCTTGTGCCCTTTTCATCTTTCCCTCATATGTCCGTTGTCCTCCCTCACGCTCTCCTTCTCTGTTCCAGTACAGTGTGCGCCACCTCTCCTCCGACCCCGGGTTGCTCCTCCAGCGGTCCAGTCATTACCACAGCCCCAGCTGCCCGAGACCCACAGCAGAATCTCCACGCCTGACACCTGCCGCCTCCCTTATTTCCTTTTTGGTCTTTATTAAAATAAATATTTCTTTAGCCTGGGTATGAGCACTGCACCTTCTTGAGTCCTGCCTTAGTTCAGATACGGCTCGGTCGTAACAGCACCAGGCACGAGTGAGCAGGCTAAAATCAGGAGAGTGACCCGGAGACAAAGACGCAAACGGGGCAAGACAGGAGGGCTTCATGCTAGGCTAAAAGCTCACGCTACCCGACCACCACTACCCAGCCTCTTCCTAGCTAACGTACAGTCTCTGGCAAACAAATTGGATGAGCTAGGAGCTAGGATTACAACACAATGGGAAATAAGATGATGCTGTGCTCTAATTCTCACCGAGACTTGGCTTTTTGACAAAGTCCCAGATTCTGTGATTCAGCTACAGACCCGCTCTGTACATCAGGGAGACCGCACTGCTGCTTCAGGGAAGGTAAAAGGAGGCAGTGTGTGTGTGTGTTTATCAACAGTGCGTGGTGTGGAGATTTACGGACTGTTTATAAGCACTGTTCACCAGAAGTGGAGTTTTTATTGCTGAAATGCCAGTCCTATTATCTCGGAAGAAAGCATAGTGCTGTGCTGAAAAAACTGGACTAGGTTTTTTTTTTGACTACAGCTTCACTTTCAACACAGTTGTCCCCCACAAACTCACCCACAAACTGTCCACACTGGGTCTGCACCCCACCCTCTGTGACTGGCTCCTGGACTTTCTGACTGGCAGGCCCCAGACTGTCAGGATTGGAAATAGGACTTCAGCCAGCATTATCACGAAAATTGGCACCCCACAGGGATGTGTCCTCAGTCCCATACTCTACACCCTGTTCACCCAGGACTGTGTCGCCTCCCACCAGGACAACATCATCCTAAAGTTTGCGGACAACATTGCAGTGACAGGTCACATTACTGGCGGGACGAAGCAGCCTACAGGAGGGAGGTAGCTGGTCTGGTATCATGGTGCAAGGACAGTAATCTCACCCTCAACACGGACAAGATGAAGGAGATGATAGTGGACACGAGGAAGGAGGGGAGATCTCATCGGCCACTGTTCATCCGGGGACTCGAAGTGGAGAGGGTGAGCAACTTCAAATACTTGGGCGTCCACATACTTGGACACTTAACACCACATAGCTGGTCAAGAAGGCCCAACAGCAGCTGTACTTCTTGAGGAGGCTGGGGAGGTTTGGCATGTTGCCTAGGATCCTTTGCAACTTCTACAGCTGCATCATTGAGAGCATCTTGACCAGCTGCATCACTATATGGTATGGCAGCACTACTGCTATGGACTGCAAGCGCCTGCAGATAGTGGTAAAGACTGCGGAGAAGATCACCAGGACTCCACTGCCCTCTCTGCAGAGCATTTACTACCGCAGGGTGTGTAGGAAAGCTGCCTCCATCCTCAAGGACCCCACACACCCCAGCACGGACTGTTCATACCCCTACCCTCTGGTCGGAGGCTTGGAAGTGTGAAATGCAGGACCTCCAGACTGAAAAACCCTTTCTTTCTGATTGCCATCAGACTCCTAAACAGCAGACTCAGGATCTGCCTCATGTAATTCCATCTGTACATTCTCATTTTGCACATGCATAATTGGACACTCACTACTGAATATTTGCTCCCATGTAGCATATAGTATTCTCTCTGCATTATATTGTGTTCTTGTTGAATTTTTATTTGCTTCCTTCACTTGCTATTGAGTGCCTTAGATTTGTGTTACTGCCTATGTATATTTGTGTTATTGCTCATCTACTTTATATTTCACTTGTATTGTGTGGCATTCATGTGGACGGCAAGAGAGATATATATATACATGGTGGCATCTTTACAAAGACGGTGGTGCATCTTTTTATTAATGTGTCTCTATTTGTATTTTATAATTCTCTCCACCCCTGTTTAGGCTGTTACTATGGCAGCACTTTTAAGAAAACATACAAAACATTTCTTGATACTTGGAAGAAAGTTTGTCATTAAAGTATCAGGGATTTATAACTGAAGTTAGAAAGGAGTAAATCACCAAGTTTATACAGCCCCCAAGAGCCTCATAGTTTCTTTCTCTCTGAATGTGCTAGCATGGAATGGAGCTGGCAGTGTCTTCAGAGCACCCCAGGGTGCTGATGTCATCACCAACTTCGATCCTGTGATATGTTCGTGCTCTGTGCAGTGGTCTGGTTGTGTGCCACAAACACACAGCGCAGCTGCAACCCTGCTGTACCGACAGTGCCCTCTGCTATTACATAAACAGGCACCCATATGTAATGCATAACTGCATGCTTGCAAACACAGAACACTGGACTGCCTACAGCTAATCTGTAGTCTCACTTTATTCCAAGGCTTAATCGCTAACTAACAACACAGTGTAATGTTTTTTCCCACCCATGTAAAATTTACACCTTACTTGAGTACAAAACAACAAAACACAAAAGCAAGTATGAATTCACAGTTAATATGCTCATAAACCCATAGAGATGCAGACAGATGTGCTAGAACCATATAAAAGTGAGCTACATAGACACACTGTTTATTAAAGTAACAGACAAAAAAAGCAAAGATGAGAAGAGCTTTGCCAAAATCAAAGCTCTGCAAGCAAAAGACAGACTGTGCTAAAGATGAGGCTGAGACCAGATCAACAGGAGGTGGTGGGACTCTATCGAGCCTACCCAACTCCAACTCTGTCTGCCTGACAGCTGTTGGTTCCATTTATATTGAATGAGCTACACCTAGACATGAGGTAGCATTAATATGTAATCATTCTTCATGTGCCACTGCGCCATTATGTACAGCAGCACCTTTCTTTAGCCTTAGAGGACTCAGACAGAAACAGAGCTTCATCTTACACCTTTCAAGGTGTCTGTGCAATTGGGGCTGGGATGGGCCATACCAACTATTTTGTAACAATAGCAGAGCTAAAACAACACTGAGTTGTATAGAAATTATAAACAAAGTCAGTGGTATCATTCTATTATTGCATTTGTAATAGTTCACTATTTAATTAGAATATAACCAGTTGTGTTTTCAGTGGCAGCTGTGAGCAAAGAGAGTGCTGAGATGTGTATGTACTCATGCAGCACAGCAGGGTTATGACCAGTACAAACCTGATATCTTGCAACCATACACCTCGAAGCGCAGTGCAATGCCTGTTTCCCAGGTAACAGGACGGATCCGGACGAAGCGTGTCAGCGTGGGTTTGGGCAGCATTGTCTTGGCAACATCTGTTGGGTTGGTATTGCCTTGGAAAACCTGTGGTAGAGGCAGAGAAAAAGCAAATCACTGACAAAAAATGTTGAATGCATGGTGGCAATTGGTGTGAGATGTTTGTATAGTGACTCACAAAACTGAGAACCAAGGTAAGAAGAGACTCCCATTCATTTTGAACAGCGACTGAGTGATCTGTGTTTCCTGACACATCATTTCTCTGTGAGGTTAATGTCACATAAAAGTGTTGGTTGTGGTGACTGCCACTCCTGACATTTTCCTTTGCTCTTCCTGTTGCACCACATGCAGCAGCACAAACATACCATGGCCTGTGACTGAAACCTGAGGCAGTATGTGTAAGGTTGACTAGATCAGAATGACTCAAGATGCCCTTTCTCTGTCCTCTAGTGGATGTTTTACAGCAGTTTACAGGTCAGAGTTGACCACCACTGACACTCAGAAAAACAACTCCCCACAGTCCATCACAGTCTATTCTTTGCAAACAAGTCCCATTGGTGACCCTATGACCTCCTGACCTCCCCAGCAGAGTATCTAAAACTTATATATAAATAACCATCAGGGCAAAGCCATTAGTCCATTTAGCCTGACTATTTTCTCTCTATGCCCTGTCCCTGAGCAACACCTATAAACAACATCACTAAAGGACCTTGTAACAAAGTCATGCACTCTCTTAAATGTCTCAGCAATTCTCATCTCCATGTGCTAATGGCAAAGTGGCTTTATTCAGAGGTGCGCTAAGATGCCAAACATGCAGGCTCAGCATGTAGCAAATGGTACCTCTCTGCACAAAAGCACTTTAGAGGCCAGAAAAACCCAGGCTGGTCTTACCATGGCACCTTTATGCCGCCACATTAAAGAAGGGGCTATGTACTTTAAAAAAATCAGGCCCAGGGGCATGTCTACACAGCAGCACAAACACGCCTTTTTGGATACTCTGTCACTGTTGAAGGCATCTTTGTTCCACTTGTGGCCTCGTGCTCTTTCAATCGATTCTTTTATTTACATGTCACACATTGTGAAGACACACATGCCTCTCTGACCCTCCAGACAATCCCCGAGGAGGGTGTGTTTGCTGTAACAAAACCTGGCCTGTTTGACAGGCTGATCAGCAATCAGTGGTTACAGCCTGTCATGCTCCGGTCAAGCATGCAATTCCTCTTCCTTTCTTCTCCTTTCCCTCCTGGACATACCTCTACCAGCTGCTCAAACATGACAGCCTCCCCTGTTTCCTTATGACCCTCTCCCCTTTAGTTCATGTTTGTCAAGTCTTGTGTCATCCATTCTTCTTTTATAACACATTGACTAGTGCTTGACATAAACCAGAGGCTATATTCTTCACACTAACCTCCCTGTAGCGACTGTATTAGTGCTGTAGTATGTTCTCTAAATATTCATACTGTAAATCCTTTTACACAGATGGTGGGTACATTACTATACAAAGCAAAGTGCATAATTACATGCTGAGAGACAGTTCAAGTACATATCTGGGTATCCCATTTTTTGCGGAGTCCACTGGCAACTTGGTGCAGACCGCAACTGAAGTTAGCGGTGAGATGGGATATCTCAAGTACAGGACATTTGCAGGGTTGGTTTTTAGTCACCAGTCGGGCAGGTGCAAAAATACTTTTCAACTTTTTAAAAGTAGGTTAGCCTTATAACTGCTGTCACTAGACCATTGCTAGCTCAAATTAAGCTCTAGTATCTCCTGCCTTTTGTTTGGATCCTTCCTTCAATGTGATCCAGTCCTCTCCATTAGAGCTGACGTCCACTTTGTAGGACCTGACAAAATAAATTCTCTGGGTCTCCTGGGAGATGGCGCCTTGGGTACTGATGGCTGAGACAAACCGCAAGAACCCAAGATCCACCTGTGAAGAGTAAAGAAAAAAAACCATAGTGACAAGCTGGAGAGTAGAAATTACAACCCCACTATTAGAAGCACCTCTGGCCATTGTCTCACCAGTTGGTACCTGGAATTTAATAAACAGCAATGAAATGATATTCACATTAATGCAGGAGACACAGGATGACAACTTAATTTCCTGTGATAAAAGACAAGAGCTTATTGGATAAAAGCGGATGTTGAATAGAAAGAGGTCTGCAATCACATTATCAAAATTGGCCAGGAAGAATGAGAGATACAGACTGAATATCAAATATTGTGCTTTTGAAATATGCAGAGCTTTATAAGATGATCATAAACTCCGGTACATCACTAGAAGGCTATTATATTTTCACAAGGAGACAATAAGAGGCAGTGGGGTAAGAGTATATGTGTTCACTAGTTGCACATACAGTATACTGTATATTTCCATGTGCATGTGCTGCAGTTAGGGCTGAGTAAGTCACTGGTTTACATCAGACCTAGTGAAGCAACACAATGTCTACCAACCATCACACAAAGGGAAACCACACAAACACAAACATTCTTCACTCAGACTTGTTTCAATTTTTAAGCCACTAACAATGCCACTGCACCATCCTTTCATCATAAGTAAAGAAAAGAGTGGGTGCGATGTAAAATTCCAAGGCTTCAAAGCGGCTAAGTCCTCATTATATTATGAAGCAGCATAAATTTAACATGTGTTAACATCATGTCTGACAGGCTGAGCATCTGATGGTAATGAGGAGTAATGGGCGGCAGATGTGATGAAATGCAACTTGAGTGGATTACTGAACTGACTCAGAGGAGATTATCCATATGTGCATATGTGAGCATGCATAAAAAAGAGGAACCACAGTGAAATCTTTTATGTGAGAGTGATCAGGCAGACACAGTGACATTTCTCAAAATCAAAGCCAGGGTGATCTGCTTCCAAACTGAATCTGAGTAGGGCTCCAGCATGTTAAAACCATACAATCAGAGTCAGTTAGCATTGTCTGCTGATGAGGCAAAAAGCAAGAAAGGAACATGTGCATGCCACAGAAA